CAAAAAAAATTTTTAAAAAAATCCCCCCAAAACAAACAAACACGGACAGGCAGAGAGGAATTCCGCATCCAGCGACCACTATGAACACAGAGATAGAGAATGAGGGTTAGGGTAAAGGGTTAGGGTTAAGGTTAGGGTTATCGGTACGAGTAAGGGTCAGGGCTAGGGTTGAGGGTTAGAGTTAGAGTTTGGGTTTAGGTTTGGGTTTGGACTCGTGTTAGGACACGAGTTTAGGGTTAGGTCTATTCTTTATTGCGTTTGTTGGCGTGGTCGCTCATTACGATGTCGTTCCGACAGATGGGCCGACGATGACTTTTCATTCGTTTGAATATAGCACTCTCGTAAAAGGGAATGCTGTATAGTGAACGTATAGTATAGTCTGTTAAAGCTTTACCATAGAGCAGTGCTAATCCACATGGGTAATGGTATCACCCACTAAAGGGCGCTTTGGTGCTCTGAGGTATCGAATAAGCGCCCCCCGCCCCCGCTTATTAATTTTCAGGGTTTTTTTTTCACACAACCCCGCTCCTTATTCCATACCCCCCGTTTATTATTTTCCAGCTTGCCACGACCAACGATCATGTGAAACGACATTATATCTAGAATCTAGATATCTGAATGAAACTTTTTTTTTGTAAATGGCAAATTATCCCCCCGCATTAGTGCAGGTACCAAGTTGGCTACCTCAATTTTCTGTGCATTTTAAATCCTTTTGTTGATTGGTTTATATTTTTCATGAAACGGGTTTGTTCCTAACTGGGTAAATTGTCACAGTAACATACTAAAATCACTAAAATTTCATGACCTCTTGTTCTTTTGTTCACTGAAGGAGAAATAAAACAGATTTGTTCCTACTAGTGCAGGGGTATGAAGGGGAATGTGCCACCCCCCACCCCCACCTTTTTTAAATTCCCTCCCCCCCCCCGTTTTATTCGATACCTTAGAATAATTTTAGGGGGTGGTGGGACCAACCGGGTAGTCACGGGTATTGTTTCCTGTCCTTATTGGAAATACATGTAGGTGTCGGCACAAACATTTTAGCCTAGCCTCCTTAAAGGCGCAAAAGTGAGCAGTGGCGATACAAATGTTGACAAGAACACTGTCTTAGAATGTAGAAAAGGAGAATAATAATAATAATAATAA